CACACACACACACACATTCTGTTGCGGTACATATGCCAGTTTTTTATTTCTCGAGTGGTTAACAAACGGTAACCGCTGCACTTAAAGTATTCATTAAAAATCAATACAGCGTTTCTCCAATACTCCAGTGTGTTGATATTTTCTCACACCCCTAATTTTTTACCACATTAGGGTTGTGGCTCGAGGGGTGGAAATGTTGGTAAGTCGACCACTTTGGTCCAGACCAAAATATCGGCTGGAGGAATTGCTATGACATTCACAAAATCCTCCCCAGAGGATTCTGTCAAACTGAATTGAATTGGATGAATCCTACTGACTTTGATGTTCCAGTTTTCATTTGTTTTTTTGTTACTTTTTATTTAATTTTAGTCTCGTTTTCATCTTTAAAAATAGGCTGTCAACAAATATTTCTCATATCTAACAAGTACTTCTGAGGAAGCACACTGACAGCCTCCATCTTGCTTTCTCTGACATTCACTTAAGAATAGTTTTCCATTTGATATCAAGGAGAAAGTGAAACGAATCACAGCCCTACACACACAGCAGCTCCGTGATGTGACTGTCTGTGGCATATATCGGCCATAGCTGGCAGGATATAAAACTTGTATCTCTGTCTCTATCTCTTTCTCTCTGGCCTTGGGTGGATTAGCCTTCCTGGCCCGGGCTGCAGCGAGCTCAGGGGACGAAGGATGGCACGTGCGCTCATACTCCTCTCCACCCCCACAGCTTTTTACTCTCGCCATCTCCTTTTATAAAGGATCTGAGGGAGTGTAGTGGGGGAGAAATACTCCAGAGAGGAAATATCTGTCAAAAGCTCTGACTCACTCAGAACGGAAACATACATAATCAATACCATATTACTTCACATATGGACGTGTGTTATTGTAACCTCAACTGATCTCAGAGCGAACAGCCTTCAGCCAACCACACCCAGGGTTAATCTTGCTGTGAGCAAAGCTGTTTTCATTGCTGATGTCAGTTTTGAAACTGCCCTTTTTATGTGATTATTCAGAGCTTTGCAGGCTCTCGCTTTTCAAGAGGCACGTTCCTCCTCACGACTCTCAGCAGCAGCCATGCTGATCTTGATATTTTATTTTCAGATGTCTACAAATACCCAACAGAGTTCACGAATGACCCATTTAGATGAGCAAAAAGCTTTCATAAGCACTGATGATATGAAGGTGAAAACATCTACTGAACGGGTTTTCAATTAGATTATAAATGTAATATTCAGTTGTGTTTATTTAGAAATAAGATCTTTATTTAATGGACCACGAGATGGTTAACAGGACAGAAAAGAAGAATGGCTTTTCTTCTTTTCCTTGTGAAACAATTGACAGTTCAGTTCAGTTCATCAGGAGTCTTGACAATATGACTAGGAAACATAACTCTTTGGTTAAATTGCGCCCAGTTTATAGACGACCTGTTACGAGGGTCCCTGGCAATAAAGGGCCACAAGCCACAAAGGTTGAGAACCAGCGCCTCAGTGATTTATTAACCCTGCATTAAACCCACCTAAGAGAGTTTTATGTATGTGGGGTTGAGGACATGATGAAGTTTCAAAGGCTTTCACATCTTGCCTGCTGCAGAGGTGTTGGGAAAAACACTGAATACATTTAATTACGTGGCAATAAAGAGGCACTTTTTCCCCCCAAAGGCACTCAATGACCACACAAAACCATTAAAAAGACCAGTGTGTAGGACTTAGCGCCAACTAGTTGTGTAGTTGTAGACTGCGACCAACTGAAACCATGTGACTCCTTTAACCCAGCGTGAAGGAGAAACTACAGTGACCAAGACAAATGCTAAAGAGTGTATCTAGAGCCAGTGTTTGCTTTGTCTATTGTGGGCTACAGTAGAAACATGGCAGTTCAACATGGCGGACTCTGCCTTTAGTTACCCATAAATGTTACACACCGGACCTTTAAACCTTATTTGCATCAGTAGAAAAAAAAAAATAATACAAAAGGTCAACAGTGTGATGCTGAGATTTGTCCGTGCTTCTGCTCCACAGCGGTGCTCCAAATGCTACTGAACACAGTGAGGCTCAACACAGTGACAGCCCAGCTAGCTGCTCCAGATGTGCAGACTCTGTCTCGTGGGACAGCTGCTCCCCGCTGAACCCCCTCCGGGTTGTAACCCCCACTGCCCAGTCTCACTGCACATGCCTCCCATAATGGATGAACACGGCGCCCCGGGCCTGTAGCCACGGCAACCATCTCCTAAGTGGGCCGCAGAGGTCGCCTGATGTGTTTGCGAGTTGACCCTTATTTACACCACGGGGAGAGGAGAAGCTAAGTAGATAATAACATGATTCACAACACGGCTACTGTGACTAGAGATGAGCGTCCTCGCTCCATTAAAACCTCGTCAGGAGACTATCAAACACGCATCCTGTCACTGATTGACTCAATGCGTTTATAACTTGTCAAGGAACAATGAAGTTACATGGGGAGCGCCTGTTGGTGTGAAGGATTAGTGTGGGATCGTTTATCTGACATGGAACAGTGCAGTTAGGCAGCAGTGTAAAAAACATAATAAACACTGAAATTGTGCTGAGTAAGCAGCAGCTCCGGTGGTTTCTGGCTGGTGACGTGCTGACGGGGCGTTCAGGGGAACGGCTGAGGTGCTGTTTACTGGCCCAAAGTGGCAAAACACCTCTGTTTCTCTTTAGTTCAGGAGCCGCTGCACGTCTGAATGAAGTTTCACATGATGCTTCGTTGCCTTTTGAACGTAAAGAAGAATATTTTGTCCATGCTGGCGTTTTTCTGTGCTGTGTGAACTTTGACTTTTAGGAGGTTCTAAAAGCATCATCGCAGAGAAAATGTTTCCATTATTCCAGTGAGCAGTGGTGGAAAAAAGTATTCAGAAAGTAGAAATACCAGTTTGTAAAAATACTTCATTACAGATAAAATTCCAGCAGTGAAAATGTCACTTCAGTTAAAGAACATATTATTAGCTAAATGTACTTAAAGTAGCAAGAGAAAAAGTATACAGAACCTTGGTAACTGTTTTCTAAACTGTGTAGTTTAATTCAGTGGTTCTCAAAGTTTTTCTGGCATGTCCCCCCTTTCAGAAGCTGAAAAAGGTTCACACTCCAGACAATTTGTCATTAATAATATGGGAACTAAAACTAATAAAAAGGGAAGTAGAATTTTAGTGAAATAAAGCAAAGCAGAATAATTTACAATGCATCATATTTTTTCAGATTTTCCTTATATGTTTTGTGTGCAAAAACTTCTAAAAATCTAGTAACCAGTTACTTAAGCTAAAAAGTAAACTATTTTTCTCTGATATGTAGCATAAGTACCTCAACTGAATACTAAAGTACAGCACTTGACTAAAGTGTGGCTTGGCTGCTGCGTGTGAACCGGGTGGCTGACAGAGATGCAGCTGGCCCCCGATGCCCCAAAGGGTTGTGTTTTGGAGGGCGAATCGCTGCCTGGTGGCCTGGATGGAGAACGAGCAGGTGGGATGCTGAGGAGAGAGCCAACACTGGGTCCAGGTAGTGACCCCTAAAATACAGTCGTGCCTCCCCAACCCCAACCCCAACCGCCAGCTGGGGCTCACCGACTGAACCTACAGACGGCGGCCCGCTGGGGAGAGCGAATTAGC